AATCTCTTTCAATACTTTTAAATATTACAATCTTTCTGTTTCGATGCATCCTTCCTTTTAAATTCCAGCTTTCTATTGTAGTACTGAAGTAAACTGTTCTAACTTTCTGATATTTGCATGGTGGAACGAGAAAGTTAAAATCTTTCAGATGTTGTGCAGTTCGAGATGTCTATAATCGGGAATATAATATTTTACGTAAAAGAGCTTAGTTTTGATTTTGAACTACTGATTATGCGTCAATCTTGTGTTGAGGAAATCACTTTACATAGATGGAACTAGTAGCAATCTATTAATCACAGGGATGGAACTTGTACTGTGTTTGTATTATTCTAGTATATAATTCTTACTTAATAGCTAAAATCTATGACAGGGATGGAACTCAATGGAGGCAATAACTGCAGCTGAGGCATTAGCGCTCACTTTACGATTATCTGGGAAGCTGGAAGAAGCTCTAGAACTTTTTGAAAAGTGAGCACACAAACTCTTGATTGGGTTATCAGAGTAATCCGAGGATCCTCAAACTAAAGCTCTTTGACGGTTTTCCTGTTAGGTGTCTCAATGCTCAGAAAAAATTACTTCCAGAAGGACATATCCAGGTTCACTCCTTTTCTAAGAAAATTCATCTTTATATTGGAAATGGACTGATTATTCAGCTTCTCTCCTCTCTGGGGCTGATAGATAGGTGGCAACTTGCTGCACATAGCGAAGACATTTATGCTTCAGGCTAGTCAGTTGGGAAGAACTAATAACAGTGAAGCTCTATCCAAACTAGAAAAAGCGAAGAAGTATCTTGAAAACTCAACTAGGTTGGTATCTATTTCTGTACTAGCTCTCTTTCCTTAAACTGATCGTTAATATTTAATTTTTCAATCTCATGTACGAGAATGTAACAAAACAGTTTTGTGTGGTGTCAACCAGGATAGCAAAAGATGTTCTGCTTAAGCTGAAAAATCAAAAGAGCAAAGCGCAGAAACACGAAAAAGCAAGTGCGACTCTTAGAAATTATGAACATGCAGCTTTAGTTATATTGGTAGGTCTCGCTTGAAGTAACATTTGTACGTATATTATGTTTGATTTTCTTCAGAACAACACATTTGGGACGTTTTCTATTTCTTTGCAGCTGCAATCTTTTGAGAGTCTTGCAGCTTTAGAGACAAGCAAAAATGAGATCCAGGAGGCAAAGGTTAGTACTGCAATGCGTGAGTTCAATGCAGTCAAATGTAAATTATTATAGATTCAGAGTTCAGACACATGCTTTCTGCTCATTTCATTAGGTTCTCTGTACTTGACCTGATGATGAACACTGAATTGACTTCGTATTGATTCCTTAGACTATTAAACAAACCTGTGTAAACCTGTTGATTCATGACATTGCAGGAAACAAATTTGCATGCAGCTGAAGATTTCCTTCTCCAATGTGTTTCAGCTTACAAAGAGGTAACGAAATACATTGCTTCTATATACGTAACTAACCAACAACCTAAAGATTACTTATATATCGACGCTCTCATTAGAATTTAACATGTACTTCTTTTCCTTTCTCTGTCCCAAAGACCAGAAAAAGGATTTTGATACAGTGTGCAAAGAAAACGTTGGACACTCTGATTCTTGTTTGTCATCTTTGTTTCTTTTGTTATCTGTAGTTTGGTTGTGAAACTCAGCTGCAAGATTCTCCTGAAGTAAAATCTGAATACCTTTCATGTCTTAAGCATCTCTCAGCTTTAATAGGCAACAAAGACACGACACTCAACTCAAAGGAAAGTCCTATTTCTTTACCAGAGCTGAAGGAAGAAGTTAGGCGTATCGAAATCGATCTTGGTTCGCATAAGAAAGGCTAAAGGCTTGTTTAGTAAATGGTTTTCGTTATTCTTATTAAACTCTCCGATCAAATAAAGGATTATACACACACGCAATTGTCAAGTATTAATCGTGATTTCCTTCTGAGACAGTAGGATGAAGAAGTCAGTGTGTGTACTGACGTTTTCTCCCTGGAAATATTCACTCTGCTTTGTGTTTGTGTTATCGATTTGACAAAGACTCCACAGGAACTGATCTAATTGTTTCAAGTGTTTCAAGTGTTGAACATGAGATATAATTGAAACCAAACCAGGCCTGTTTATTCCCTTATCAAACAATACCACCGAAATTAACCGAAATAAATAATCGATTTGGTTTAGTTTTTGTTGTATTCGATTCAATTTGAGTAAAACCGGTTGAAATTGGGTAAATCCGGTTGAATCGGACGCAATCGGTTATTTTGTTGAGATTAATATATGTTTTGGCTTGAATCAATTTTATTTCGGTGTAATACCTATCTCAAACCAATTCAAATTATGATATTTGGTTTTCTACATTTCATAAACGCAAAAATTTTTAAAAACAAAATCTTAAAAACCAAAAACATATATTAATTCAAACCAAAATAATTGATTCGGTTTGTTATATTCTACCGAATAAACCGATTTTTCGGGTTTTCTCGGTTATAATCGAGTAGAACCGGTTCAAATTGGCTATTAGCCTAATACCTGTTGGACCGTTATCTCGGTTCGGATTTATATATATTTTGGTTTTAATCGATTAATCTCAAACCAATCGGTTATTTACAATTTCATAAATGCAAAAGACAAAACTCTACAAAACCAAAAATTGCAAACCGAGAAATGGATTTGGGCACTCTCCTCTAGATTTAAAAATCGATTTTTTAGTTTCATTAACGATAAAACCTCGAGCGGCTGAATAAACCCTAAACCCTCTTCCTCAAGGATTCAGCATACCGTTTCCTCCAACTGTAAACTTGTTCTGCAATGAACGATTCTTGTCTGAATCTGTGGTAATTCTAGAAGAAACCCATCAAGATTCTTGTTATGACAAGAACATACATTAACACATATGCGTGATTACATGCGAGACGAATGATCAAGAGATCATCATCATCACTCTCTTCTTTGCTTTCACTCGAAACCCTCTTGAAGCTCTGCAAATCTGAGATTCATCTTAATCAAATCCATGCCCGAATCATCCGTAAAGGTCTTGAACAAGACCAGAATCTCATCTCAATCTTGATCTCATCGTACTCTTCATCTCTCTCTTACTCTTCCTCTGTTTTTGAACGTGTTTCTCATCCTTGTCCTTATCTCTGGAATCACTTCATTAAAGGGTACTCGAATAAGTTTCTCTTCTTTGAGACTGTTTCGCTTCTTGTGCGTATGATGAGAACAGGTTTACCTCGACCTGATGAGTATACGTTTCCATTGGTTATGAAGGTTTGTTCTAACAATGGACAGGTTCGTGTTGGTGCAACGGTTCATGGGTTGGTTCTGAGAATTGGGTTTGGTAAAGAGGTTGTTGTGGCTACAAGTTTTGTTGATTTTTATGGTAAATGTAAGGATTTGTTAAGTGCACGTAAAGTGTTTGGTGAAATGTCTGAGAGAAACGCGGTTTCTTGGACAGCTTTGATTGTAGCGTTTGTGAAATCTGGGGAGTTAGAGGAAGCGAAGAGGATGTTTGATCTTATGCCTGAGCGTAATCTTGGATCTTGGAATGCTTTGATTGATGGTTTGGTTAAATTCGGTGATTTGGTTAATGCTAGGAAGTTGTTTGATGAAATGCCTAAGAAAGATATAATTTCGTATACTTGTATGATTGATGGATATGCTAAAGGTGGTGATATGGTTTCTGCAAGGGGTTTGTTTGAGGAAGCGAGGGATGTTGATGTTAGGGCATGTTCAGCTTTGATATCGGGTTATGTACAGAACGGTCAGCCGAATGAGGCTTTTAAGGTTTTTGGCGAAATGTGTGTTAAGAATGTTAAACCTGATGAGTTTATAATGGTGGGTTTGATGTCAGCTTGTTCTCAGATGGGTTGCTTTGAATTATGTGAACAGGTTGATTCTTATCTGCACCAATGCATGAATAAGTTTTCTAGTCACTATGTTATACCTGCTTTGATAGACATGAATGCCAAGTGTGGTCACATGGAAAGAGCAGCCAAGTTGTTTGAAGAGATGCCTAAGCGGGATCTTGTGTCATACTGTTCAATGATGGAAGGATTGGCTATTCACGGGTGTGGATATGAAGCTGTTCGACTGTTTGAGAAAATGCTTGATGAAGGTATTGTTCCTGATAAAGTTGCATTCACTGTAATCTTGAAAGTTTGTGGCCAAGCCAGGCTTGTTGAGGAGGGATTAAGGTATTTCGAGTTAATGCAAAAGGAATATTCTATATCGGCCTCTCCTGATCATTTTTCCTGCATCGTGAATCTTCTTAGCCGGACAGGAAAGCTTAAACAGGCCTATGAGCTAATCAAATCCATGCCCTTTGAAGCTCATGCTAGTGCTTGGGGTTCGCTTTTGGGTGGTTGTAGTCTACATGGGAATACAGAGATAGCAGAGGTAGTTGCAAAGCAACTCTTTGAGCTCGAACCAAAAAGTGCCGGTAACTACGTGCTTCTATCAAATATTTATGCAGCTTTAGACCGGTGGGCGGATGTCGCTCATCTTAGGGACAAAATGAAGGAGAGTGGTATTAACAAGATATGTGGCCGAAGTTGGATAAGTCGATAAGCACTCGTCATCTAACCCTGTCAATGGAAGCCTTTGCTTAACCTAACAAGACGTTCAGGCAAAAGCACCTAACCAGAACCAGCCTGAAACATCATTGCGACCAAAGTTATCACCTATTCACCTTGCTCGACCTATAGATGGATATGCTTGAGAGGTAACATTTTTACCATAATCAGGCTTCAATATTGTGCTCATGTGCTTAAGACTGTAAATATGTTTTCTTTGGTTATGATATACAATGATTACTAATAAATTGAATTATAAGATCAAAATATGTAAATTACCATTCAAGTATAAAATTTTAAAAAAGACATTACAAAATATAAAATAACCATTCATGAGGTTGCTCAACAGTTCATTTGCTCTCATCTCTCTGCTCATTTGACATATTTCGGTTTCTTCTGGACATCAGAATCTGGATTTGTGAATTCACATAAGCTATATAGCTTTCCCGATCAAAATATTCAGAATCAGAATCAGAATCATCATCTTCATCATCAAAAAGCGGGCAACCGAAGGACATTCTTGTTGGTTCTCCATCCATTTGATCCCACATTTGTAGCAAAACTCATACTTACATCTGCACAATGAAAACACAATTTTTTCCTTTCAAATATTCATACATTCATATAATAGTAAACTTGATAGGGTTCAGTATACTTTACTTGCAAGTCATGTGGCAGCAACCATGATCTCGTTCAATCAAAAGCTTACACCGGTCACACTGACGCCACATGTTGTCGTTCGCCAAAGACAGAAGCTTCATTTCATCAATAAGAAGTTCAGGGTGCAGTTTCTTGAACTCATCACATGACAAATCAGAATGCCATGGTACTTTGCAGTCGATGCAGAAGAGTCCATAGCATTTGATACAAGACCGGACATTGGACTGGCCGGCTTCACTGGATATCTCGGTTTTGGACATCAACACTGAGCAGGTTGGATATGGACAATAGATCTTGTCTGCAGCAGGAATCAAGTCATCTTCTATCTTCTGTTTCCACATCTCAATCAGCTTTGGTGTCAGAACCATGCTACAGTTTTCAAGATTGAGCTCAGACTTGCATCCATACTCAAGGCATGTGGGCAATGCTCCCATAGACAGCTTCACTTCCACATACTGCTTCACGCACGAGAAGCAATGACGGTGAAAGCATTCTTCATTGAAGAACATGAGCTCAGGATCGGTTTCTTCGAAACAAACGGTGCAAACTTCTCTCTGTGGTGGTGCTGCCTTCACACCATCGCTGGTACTACTGCCTTGAGAAACCATTGCATCCCTTGCAAGATTAAAAGCAAACTTCACATCATTTGAGGCAAGCACAAGAATTTTGGTGTTAGCTATTCTTGCTCTAAGGCGTTGCACTTGGTCCAGAAGGTGGACAAGCTTCTCCGGAAGCTTCTCTCTATAGCTACCAAGTAACTGCAGTAAAAATACAGAGACAAGTCAACAAATTAGTCAATAACAAATCTAAAGTGAGAGAGCTATTCCAATTTATAAATGCAATTACAAAAAAAAAAAAAACATAATGACTTGATTGACGACATAAATAGTGGTCAATACAAATAGAAATAGTGAACCTAGCTATGGTATAGTTTGAGACGGTAAGAAATGAGAATATGAATATATATTTTGATTTGTAACAATCTAACAATACAAATAACGAATTATATTTATTTTTAAAAATTATTCTTAAAAGTATAAGAAATTATTTGTATTATCTAAATAATGGTGCTCCATATGAAGAAAAAAAATATAGAATAAACGAATCTAAATATTTAATGATATTTCAAATACGATAAAATTCATTTATTTAATTTATCTAAATAATGCAACCACAATTTTTTCCTGATAATTGTCACTTTTTATAAAACTAACCAAAGAAATAATTGATAAAGAAAATAAAAACTTACAATTCGGGAAGTTTGATAATCGTCGCAACAAATTATGAGATTTCTAACCCCCGAATGAAATGCATCGTTTAACCCAGTAATCAATGCCATCATCTCCACTTCTTCGCGGTAAATCAAGGCGCTATTAAATGATTCATTTATTCCATATAATAAATTATCCGCCTCGTCGCATATTGCGAACCCTATTCCAACCTTATAAACCATTTCACTGTTTCCAACTGTTTCATTGCTCACCAAACCTTTGAAATACAATTTGTATATTACATTGTCTTCAAATTTTGTTGCCGCAAAGGTCGACTGGAGAACCTCAGAATCTCCCTCACCTTTATGGTTTGAGATCTCGTCGGTTGCCATATGATCGACCGGCTGTTTTTTAGAAATCAGGTTTGAATTCTGTTTTTCCATGATTGTTTATCTCCAAATTTTCTCAGGGAAAGCGACTCTATAAATAGAGGGCTTTAAGCATGCTAGTCAATTAGTCAAATAAATCATATTAATCACTACAATTTAAGGAAAAAAATTCATCTCAAAATTTAATTGATGTGTAAAATCAAATGTGACATAAATGTACATCTCTGACCAGTTTTCCCTAATTTAACTACTTTTATGTCTCTTTTATTTTTAAAATACTACAAGTAATTTTGGTTTTTGAATAATAGACGCGTATAGTCAAATGTAAATTTAAATTCATAAATGTAAAATTTATTCAACCCCAAGAACATTGTTTACCATAATATGCATCCTTAGATATATAGAAGAATTGAAGAAATTGAAATTGTAGACATAAAATCAAATGTGACATAAATGTACATTTTTGACGGGGTTTTTCCTTAATTTAACTACTTTTAGGACTCTTTTAGTTTAATTTTTTTTTTTTGAATATCAAATGTGTATAGTCAAATGTAAATGATAAATCATAAATGTAAGATTTATTCAACCCCAAAAAACACGGTTTACAATAATATGCATCCTTAAATAGATAGAAGACATGAAGAAATTGAAATTGTAGACATAAAAACCAAAAACTAAACTAGCTTTTCGATGCTAGCCAATTGTGTATAGTCCATCTTCAAGCTTAGAAGATCTAGGTTCCTTTTGACGAGCATAAGCAGTTGCAGATGGTTCTATCAAGAAACTTAATGTGCTGGTCAGCGGCTTTAGCGATCTCACCATGTCATTTCCCATTACAAACTCACAAAGCCAATGAACCTTGGTTACCTAAAGTCATGTGCAAGGGTCAAAGAGAACACCAAGTATCAAACCAAAATGAAACTTACAACCCATTTTTAACTTCCATATGACAAAATTATTTGGCATGTTGCTGATAGTTTAGGATCTTTCTCCACATCTAAGAACTCGAGTAAACATTTTCTTTTATCGACGAGAACGACCTATTAAGCCCAAAGAGAGCTTGCCAGACAATTACGCCGACCCAAATTTCCTCTCCTTTTTTTATATCCACACAAGTAAGACTTTAAAATTTTAAGTCGCATATAATTATGTAAAGTTTCTATACCCTAAATTAAAATCTTTTTTCAAATGTAAAAAACAACTAAAGAGAAATTTCAAAATTTCAAATTTTTAAATTTTGAAAACTCTTTAAAAAGAGTTCAAAATTTTAATTAGGTGGAAAAGACTATCAAGCAGTACAAATAAAACTCTATTTGTTTCCTGAAACTTCGAGATGGATCATCTGAATGAATTTATAAATTTAGAAATACTTTTCTAAAAAAATTTGGACTGAGAAATATAATAAACGACGAATATACCCCAATTATTCAAATGATCTTTTTGCCTACAAATTCTAATGGATATGTTTACAATTATTTTGGAAGAAAATAAAAACACATTTCGTCAGTCAAAACCGCAAAATATGTTTTCCACCAAAACTAAAAATCATATGCCCATCCCTATGAACTCTTAATATCAGTCTTCTTCTTGTTTTCACTATAAAATCATGTTAATATGATTATAAACTTTTATATTATTTATCTCAATTATTCATATCACCTCTTTTATAGTGAATAATCAGTTCATACACCAACACTCTCTTTCTTGTTCCAACAACCTCGCATGTTCCACACAACTTCACAATTTTGATTGCGATACCATTCTTTGTCTTGTTCAAATCAAATTTCTTTTATTTTACTTACAAATTATTTCTTTGGAAAAAATTATAGAAAGGGATTCTTATGATCATACAAAAAGGAATATAGTAAATGGAGAATGTGAGTCCAACTACAAAAATACAAACACTTTACCTAAGGAATCAATTGTTGTATCCACCAATGGACCCAAAAGCAATACCACAACAACTACTACATAGTATATACTATATACTAATAATATACATACTCGTTTTCTAAAAAACTTTTTGGTAACATACTCTTTTCTAAATTTTTAATCAATCATTTTCACATACGTATTTATTTTAATTCATTTTGCCAATTACACGCGTATTTATTTATGATCCATCTTTGTTTTCTTCCTTAGCCTTTCCTTTCAACTCTTATCAACGTGTCCCCTCCAAATTCCACAAACCCCCAAAAAAAACACAACCAGTGAACTATATGCTTCCGTTTGCTAACTACTACATTTCAACACCAATTATGTCCGAGAAGAAAAACATCACCAGAAGCAGTAGCAACAGGAGAAAGAAGAGATGGTCATCGACACTTTTCACGGCCGGAGGAGGAGGAGGAGGAGAAGATGATGATCTAGCCGCGGTGAAAGCTGCTGCGTGGGCTTGGTACCAAAGACACGAAGGCAAACCAATGATGAGAGAGTTCGATCTCACTACAAGATCCACAAGAACACCTCGACCTTCAAGATACAAACTCGAAGCCAACAAGAACATGATGATCATGTCCGAGAATAGGGTTTCTAAACCACTACACACTAGTCACTTGTGTCGTGGAGATCAAGAAACCAAGTTGTCTAGTCTTCTTGACTCTTATGAGATCAAGAGTATCTCTAAGAGGATCGATGAGGGTTCTTTACCTACCAAGCAAGGTAGTAGTCTCAGGCATGATCATGTTCTATTGGAGAAGAAGTTTGAGTATGATCATAGTAATAAGGAGATGAATGGGTTGGTAAACAAAATGAGTATTAGAAATTTGTGGAAAGGAATGAGTCTGATGGCTCCAAGGACGGTTTGTGGCAGAAGCGATGATGTGGATCTTAGGGCTTACCGAACAGAAAAGGTTTCACGGAGGAGGAGTGTGAGTACCCGAACCGACGGTGGCTAACTCTATAGTCTTTAATTATTATTTATTAAGAAGCTAATATATGTTTTTGGACATTATTAATGTAAAAGGGATCTATTTTTCTATAACATTTAAGGATCTTTAACTAGTTTTTTGAATATTGTTTTAAATTAATTGCTCATTCTAACAAGACGTCGAAATATATAGTTACTAGGATTTACCCCGTGGTACACCACGGGTCCATAATTTAATATTTTTGTTTGGTTGGTCATTTTCGTATTTGGTTTATATAGTATAGTTTTATACGTGTTTATTTCATTTGATTTTACATAATTTTATGAATCTGTATTATAAGTAAATTCATAGATATATGTGGTTAACCCGCGCTACACCGCGGAATAATTTTGTCGTAAAACAAATTATATCTTAACTTAACCGTAAAATTATTTTATTATAGACAACCCGTAAGAAAAATATAATCATATTTATGTTAACTCAAATCCGTCCAATCATATTTATGTACAATATTATTATATTTTAAAATATTTAGAGTTAAAATATCAATAATACTTTAAATCAAATGTTATAACATTATTGCATTAGTAAGAGTTTCTGTAATATTTTAAACCTTCCAAGAAATTAAAATTTATAATATATTGAAACTTTTTAAAAATATATTTTTCTTAAATATATAACAGGATTAAACAGAATAAATTTTTTAATTTGGATGCCTAAAAAGCCAAATTTCATGCTCATTTTTAGTTGGAAACATATTAGTCATATTTATAATGGTTTTGAACTCTTATATAAACATTTTCCCTTTATTAATTGAGTTATATACGTCCGTTTTCAAAACTTCAAATTGCAAAATGTGTGGAAAAAAATTTGTATTTTTATTATAAATATTTTTATGTAATAATATACATGGAAAATAAATAAGATTATATAAATATATTGGAGAGAGATTCAAGTTATTAGAGAGATATTTTAGGAAATGTTTTTTGATGTAATAAATATTTGTTTCCAATTTTGAGATTTGCTTGTGATTTTATTACAAAACTAGGTTTCGACCCGCGCTACAGCGCGGGGGAAATAATTACTTATATATAAATTTTAACGGATTTTTAAAAATAATTTATTTAACCTTTTACTAAAAAAATATATTTTAACGGATTAAAATATATTAAAGTTTAATTTTATTACAGTGCAATCGATTATAATGAATCATATATTTGTATAATAAGTTTAATTAGATTACCAAAAAAATATGTTTAAATAAAATAATAAAAGGAAAAAGCGAGTAAATAATAATATATTGAGTTTTGCTACACTTAAAAAAAGGTGAAAATTTTATAGCACGAAATAATATTTATCGATAAATTATTCAATTTGACCATTTTTGTAGTAGAAGTAGGGATAGACGTAAAAATTACATACTACAATATATTTTTTGAAGGACCAACCCGTAACATAATTCATATAGTAAAAAACATTATTCACAACTCGCTTTACCATTATAATTGTGATTTTAACAAACTATCCGTGAACTATCTAAAATTTACGTAGTTTGATATATAATATTTTATCAATAAAACTTATGTCTCCAAATTTACATCTATGTATTGAAAACAATAGTTTTACTATTTTAAATCTAAATTTTTTATATATTTGAACCTTGTAATTATAATATTTTGAAACTTTTTAAAATTTTAAATATGCTCATCTAACAATGATTTTAATATTGGTCATACTTATAATGATTTTAAATCATTGTCCAAAATATTTAACCGAGTGTAATTGAGTATCATATGTCCGTTTTGAAAAATTCAAATTGCAACATATGCGAAAAAAAGTTAAGAAAATTTTAAATATTTTTCAAATTTAGTATAATATTATAAATTAAAAATAAGATCAAATAAAAGTGAAAGAAGAATGATAATTGTTTTTAATATATTCTATTAAATTAGTTAGAGAAATATTAGGAAATCCTAAAATTAGTTATGGAAATAATATAATCCTAAAATGAGATATGGAAAGTATCCGATGTATGTATCCGAATCCATTTTAATATCCAATTTTGAAGTATCCAATTGTTAAAATTGGGTTAACTTTTTGATTTTGACCCGACCCGCATTCTATTTTGTACTTCTCTTTTACTAATATAGAGATTTACTTTAAGTTTTGTTATTTATTCAAATGGCAAGGGGTTGATTATGCAAATATTACAAAATAAAAGGTTATAATCCAAAATAGATTTTAGTACAAAATGTACTTCAAAAATGTTAAGATAGATAGGTTTTGTTTCGATAATCAAAAGCAGCTGTGATTGTCACTGTGATTACAACTGCGATTTCAAATCGCGAGATGTTGTTCGTCTTGTAATCATGCAACTGGTCGCTGCGACTAATCGGTGATATTCTTTTAGTATTATATATATGTTAGCTAGAGTTATATTCTTTCAAAAAAGACAGTTTCAGCTTAATTTCTCTATTTTTTTAATAATCGACTAGGATTTATCCCGTGGTACACCACATGTCCATAAATTAATATATTTGTTTGGTTGGTCATTTTCGTAGTTGGTTTATGAGAGAATTTCAAAAATACCCCTTTTCATATACCTCTTTTTAAAATATCCTCTTTTAAAACTTTATAAAAAAACAAAAAAAAATGTTGAAATTTATCCAAATACGTATGTAAACTTATAAATATATACACAAATTACCTTTGCATGTGTATAATATTTTATATATCTTTCATAAATAGCATAAAAATAACTTAAAAATAAATTTAAAAAACCTTTAAAAAACCTTATAAAGCTTATAAAAACGATTTAAAACCATTTAAAATATTTTAAAATATTTGTATCGAATCTCTCAGTAGTAGTTATTATATAGAAGTACATTCTAAACTATATAAAACTTTATCATTTTTAATATTTAAATATGGGTATTTTTGAAAATGGATAGATAAAAGGGGTATTTTTAAAAAGGAACACACCTAAAAGGGTATTTCTCAAATATTATTTTGGTTTATACAGTCTAGTTTTTATATGTGTTTATTTTATTATTATTTAATTTTACAAATTTGTATTATAAGTAGATTTACAGACATATGTGGTCAACAATGTGGTACATCGCGGGACATTTTGTTGTAATTAAAAGAATTCTGTTTTAACTTAATTTGTAAAAGATTTAAATATAGACAATGCATAAGAAAAATAATAATCATGTTTATGTAAACTCAAACTCGTTGAATTATATTTATGTACAATATTATAATATTTTAATTTTTTAGAGTTAAAATATTAATAATACTTTAATTTTTTTAGATTTTTAATAATTTTAATATTCTTTATATTCTCTAAAGCTTAAATTAAATATTATAATATTTGAAGCTTTTAAAAATTATAATATTTATAATATTTTAAACTTTTCTAAATAATGAAAAAAACCGAATTAAACCAAATAAAATTTTTAATTTGGATGTTTGAGAGTATAACACACGAGCAATCCAACCAGTATGATTTCCTTTTCCTCTTCCAAGTCATGTGCTAACTCTGTGTTCTAAGCTGCCATTTCGTTCAAAAGTAAGTCCTATTTATAATGGTTTTAAACTATAATCTAAAATTTTCTACTTTATCTAGACGTTGTACATACATTTTTTCCTTTATCAATTGAGTAATATACGTCTGTTTTCAAAAATTTAAACTGCAAGAATATGCAGAAAAAATTGTATTTTTATTATACATATGTTTTATGTAATATATATTGGAAAGATATTCGATTTATCAGAGAAAGATTTTAGGAAACTTTTTGTAGCCCGTGTCTGAAATTTTGATGGTGTCGACCAGCACTAGTGTTGGGTGTCGATCGACACCAACAAAATTGGGTTAGACAGTTTAGCTTTTAAACCATCAGTTTAATTGGAATTGATCGAAGAAACCCTAGGTACAACTTTAAACTCGTGGAAGCAACCTTTCTTTCTCACTTTTGGGCTTTTGTCGCTTCTTGAAAGCAAAAGACAGAGAGAGGGTTGTTCGTTGGTTGTTCCTAAATCTTAAGGAGAGGCTTGTAAGGGTTTCTGGAGGCTGTTCTTCAGTGTTCTATCAAAGGATCAGTAGGATTCGTGGCTGTGGGTGGGAAGAGAGGTTGCTGGAGTGTTCTTCTTCTCTTTTTTGTCCATCCTTCCAATCCAAATCAGAGGGGCGTGTGTGACTATGACTTATCTAAGCGTAAAGATTGCGTGACTGTTATTTTGTTGTGTCGTCGTGGGAGGTGATGTGCTGGTGCTATTAGGATTCTTGGGTGTCTAAGATCGTCGTTGGATGCGTTTCAGAGTGTGGGTGTCGACCGACACCAGGCGGGTGTCGATCGACACCATTCTGCTGATCGTAGTGCAGTTTGGTGGTGTCGTCCGATACCAGTTTATGGTGTCGGTCGACACCAGTTTTTGTTAGTGTCGACCGACTCCAGTGTGGTGGTGTCGACCGACACCAGTTTTCTGTGAGCGATATTTGTGTTTTTGATTGCATGTTTTGGCTGTTTGTGACATTGTTGATGTATGGATGTGACTTTAAGTGCTTGTGTGTATAGCCTAGTGGATGGAAAGATCGCTTCACGGAGTATTTGTGATAATACTCACGCATCTCATTGTGTTTGTGTTGGAGGTAAAGTGTGACGTGGAATCATGGCAATGAGGAGGAGGATGATCTAGGGTCTCGGTTGTTATGTTTATGTATATGTTTAATTGTTGTTGGAACCTGATTTAGAGGCATGCTAGGTTGTTGATGTAAATTGTGGTTATTGAATGATTGATTAATTAATATTATGATTAATTGGTGTTGGTTTAATATGTTTCCGTTGTGCATGATGGTTTATTCTTGGGTTAATTGGGTTAGATTAATTAGTAGGTATGAGACTATTAAATAATGAATTTTAAGTAGAAAAAAAAATGGTTCGGGTCTTTTCACTTTTTTGATGTAATAAATATTTGTTTACAATTTTGCGGTTTGCTTGTGATTTAATTACAAAATTTACTTTTTTATTTTATATGTTCAAATGGCAAGATTTTAATTATGCAAATATTATAAAATAAAATGTTATAATCCAAAATAGAGTTAAGTACAAAA